AGTCAAAATAAGAAAGTTCCATTATATACAGACTATATTATAGTCTGTATATGTATACACAGAATAGAATTATAAATAGTAGAACAGCACATCTTGAATAACAATGTACTAGAACAAAACTCATCGAAACAGATCAAAATCTCAGAATGAGACCCAACATGGTGGAAAATTCTGGCACTGCAAAGTTAACTTGAAAGGAATTACTTCTCTATAAACACGCTGAGTCCATCGATAGATGTTTGAGAATGAAGTAAAATTCCTACTATATACTACATGCTAAGACACTTTGAGAACATCAAATTTCACAGATGTTATGATAATACAAATAAAACTTGAAGAAAAGTAGAATTTCTCCCTAAAATGAGCAAAATTTTTTAACATAGGGAAATCATACATAGGAGTCAGGGAGACGGCATAGCAGTTATGTCACTGAACTCCCACATGGCCAACCATGGTTTGAGTCCCAGACTGGGTGGCTTGAAACTCATGCCAGGCATGTGTGCATGTAGGCCCAAAATCACAGGAGGAGAATGAGGAAAAGGGACTACAGTGTGTCCAACCCTCCTAGAGGGTGATTTCTCATTTTCCTTCTCACTGTCTCTGTCTCTCTCTCTCCCTCTGAAGAGAGACACCATAAGGTAAAAACCTCAGGCGGGGCGGGGGAGTCGTACATGAAAACATAAAGGAAAGTATCATCATTTTAATAAACAAAGTTTTTTAACCTCTGTACATAAAAAGATACTATAAACAAAATGTAAAACCAAGTAACAAGTTGGGGAGATGTATTTGCTAAACTACGAAAACGCCTTAAAATATAAAGAGCTCTGGGGCCAGCAGATGACATCATGGTAAGGCACTGGATTTCCACATTGCTGACCACAGTTCAAGTCCTAGGCCTAGTGGCTTGAAAATTACACCAGGTGTGTGTACGTGCACACATGCACCAAATCCCAGTAGGACAATGGGGTAGAAAGGATTATGGCATGGCCATACCCCCTGAGGTGGTTGACTTCACACTTTCCCTCTCTCTCCATCTCTCTGGTGAGTGCATGTGCCCTATGGCAAAAAATTAAATAAATAAATACACACACACACACACACACACATATAAAGAACTCTAAGAAACCAACAAAAATATGGGCACTACAAAAAAATGAGTTAAGAGACATATAGAGGCTAGCTCCAAGACACAGTAGTAATATGCTGCTCGAGAGAAGCCAGATTCCACACGGTGACTACAGTTCAAATCTCTGGCCCAGTCAGCCTGAGACACACCAGGCATGCATGTGAGTACTCAGGATCGAATGGGCTGCAGGACAGGAGGAAGAAGACTGCAGTGTGATTGGATGCTGTGGAGGGTACACCTCTCTCCCTCCCTCTCTCACTCTGTCATGAGTAAAGAAAAATTATTTTTTTTAAAGAGACAGGAATAAACTTTTTTCAAAGTTTCTATATTAAACATGTTATTATGGGAAAATTTTAAATTTAAAATTAAAATGGTGGGTCCAGGAGGTGGTGTAGTGATTAAGGTGCTGGAATCCCACATAGTCAACCATGGTTCAAGTCACAGACCTGGAGGCTTGAAGATCATGCCAGGTGGGGGCCAGCAGGTGACGTGGTGGTTAAGGGTGTTGTACTTCCACACGGCTGGCCACGATTCAAGTCCCAGACCTGGTGGTTGCTCACTTTCCCTCTCTCTCTTTCTCTTACTCTGTCCCTCCCTGATCAAATGAAAATAAATAAATGAGTAAAATAAAGTTTAATAAAATAATTCTTAAAAATAAAAAAATCACGCCAAGTGCTTGTGCATGTGTGCCCCAAATCCTGAGAAGAGACTGGAGAGGAAGGGATTGTGGCGTGGCTATACCCCCGAGAGATGATTTCTTGCTTTCTGTCTCTCAGTCTCTCTAGCAAGCTCGTATGCCCTATAGTAAAAATCTCTCAAAAAAAAAAAGGAAAAGTACGGCTTATACCGTGATTAAAGCTCCATCAGAGACCACTGTCTTAGTCTGTTATCATGTTGTTTATAGAAATCCTTGAAACAGGGTGGCTTACAAAGAAGAGTTTATATGACTTACAATTCTGGAAGCCGGAAAGTCCAAAGACGTGGCTGACAGAAGCCGAGAGGACGGCGGGCACGTGAGACCACGGTCTGTGCTCCATGTGAGCCCCGCCTTCCTCACTGCCTTTCCTGCAGACCGCCAGGACTCCATCACGGGGACCCTACCCTAACGACCCAGTCGCTCATCTCTAACCCAAATCCAACCTTCCAACACTATGAGTGGACAAAGCTTTAACTCATGTAATCCCATACGATGGCTCATCACGTGAATTCTGGAGGGATGTACTCAAACTGCACGATCATCAGTGAAGCTAGAACATCTGCATCCTACTTACCAGGCCAGTCTCTGAGAAAACGTCAAAAGAGAAACACAAATAATGATGTACTGCGCTCTGGCAGAAAAGCAATCATCTCAGATTTAGAGAAGGATAAGGCATCTCATATGCCCATACCTTTAGCCCTCCTTTACCTTTCTCTCCTAGAATCACAGAGCACTGAGGCTGAAAGACCCACAGGATGTTAAGATCGCATCTCCTTGTCAGTGTATCAAAACTGAGGCCCAAGCAGACGGCAGTTGGCCCACGAGGCAGACTGCCTGCTCCGCGGTCTTCTCATTGCATCTGGTCACTGATGCCCTTTTTCCCAGTCAACACTTAAAAATAACATATGACTTAGACTCCATTCTCCAAAAAGTGTTAGGAAAAAATGAAAAACAGAAAAAAAAAAATTTCCAAATTTTACTAGGATATACTTCATATTCTTGGTGATGCCACTCTCTGCTAGCAAAGTTGCATTAATGTTTCAACCACAAGCACATCTTTGTCCATCTTTATATCCCTTCCTGCTCAAGGA